CAGATTTAGAACAGACATGGTATTCAGCAGGGAAAAATAAGGATCAGTCAAGATTTATAATAGTTTTATACAAATGAAATTGACTCAACCTGAACAACACACTGTTAAACAGATGGCTGATCTTTCGCTACTTTAATCATTGTAATTGTCATGATTTTCTTTCTCATATAGAAGAATTGACCAGAATTGACAAGAGGCTGAATTTTAGCACATTATGTTTATTGACTGGAAATCTTACTTTATTTATGGTTTTTTTGTCCTTTTGTTCTTTGACTGTAAATTGGCTGAAAATCTTGTCCAATACTCCCAAGAACAGTGCTCACTCCATCTCTGCCCCCTGCCAGCCTTATGTGTTTCCCGTAGATTCCTGTGTATGGCTTCAGAAGATGTTTGTGGAACTCTGACATCAAGGTTGCTGTATTTGCTGATGTTCACTTTTCTGCAGCCTTGGGGGAGGGGGGGGTCTGTTGCTAGTTGGGAATCTGCTTGTAGATTTGATTTCAGACCCAGTGGTCTGCAAGTGAGTTGGTTTACCACACCATTGTTGTATGGAAGATGAGCTTATATGGTTTACTGCAATCTGAAAGGGCAGAAATTCTATTTTATTATAAAGTCTGGGACAGGGAAGTATTAGAGGATATTGGTAATTTGGCCTCTGCCCTGTGGGAGCTGTTGTTCTATGCATTCCAGAAATGTTTACATGCTCATGAGGTGTGTAGTACTCAGTAGGGATTTCAGAGAAGGGGGTGGGCTCCCAAGGGGCTTATAATCTGTGGGGTTTAAGGCATCCTTGGGAAACGGCCAACAGTGCAAGTGTTTTGTGGTTAAAGAGTGTATATTCGGCTGGGCTCGGTGGCTCAGCCTGTAATCCCCTGCCTTTGGGAGGCTGAGGTGAGTGGATTGCCTGAGCCTGCGGGTTCGAGACCCGCCTGGGCAGCAAGACCTCACCTCTACAATAAAGCAAAAAATCAGCCGGGTGTAGTAGCACATACCTGTAATTCCGGCTACTTGGAAGGCTGAGACGGAAGGATCGCCGGAACCCGGCAGGTGGAGGCTGCGGTGACCGGGAGCGGCCACTGCACTCCAGTCTGGGTGACAGAGTGAGACTCCAACTCAAAAAAAACAAACAAAGAGTGTATATTCGGCCGGGCTCAGTGGCTCAGCCTGTAATCCCAGCACTTTGGGAGACTGAGGCGAATGGATTGCCTAAGCCTAAGCCTGCAAGTTTGAAACCAGCCCAGGCAACTTGGTGAGACCTCGTCTCTACAATTAAAAAAAAAAAAAAGAGTATATATTCTACTCTGACTGCTCCTGCTGGGTATTTGGCAGCCATTTTAGACTCAGCCTTGCCTCCTTTTCAGTTCCCTATGTCATAGTTGTCCCTGTCACTTAGGGTCAGAACTTGTGTCGTCACTTCTTTCTCCTCTTCCTCAAGTCCTTTTGTTCTTGTCACGTCTCTCATGTCTACCCTTCTTCCTGTTCCTCTTTAGCACCCTGATTTCTCCCCAGCTCTCTGCAGCTCTGACTTAGGATGGAGTCCCCTACTCGTACATGTAGCAGAGCCCACCCTCGTTTGTCATTCTGGCGTAGCTCTTCCAGAGACAGGTCTGCTTGCCTCAGACGTTTCCAGTAGTTCTTCATGGGCTATAGTAGGACTTGTTTTTCTCTAACCTGAGGTCCCTCATTGAGGTGGGCACATGCCCTTGGAAATGCAATGCATAGTGTTAGCACACAGCTTTTGCCAGAGCTACCAGCGGTCCCATGAGCCACTGCAGATAAGAACGGCCAACCTGCAGGTCGTGTCCGGTTTTGACTCAGCCATCAAAGCCTGCCCAGGCTGCCCTCAAACCAGCCTTTCTTCTCTCTGCTGTCCTCCAGGCCCTAGTGCTGCCAGCCCTGCTGTTTTCATGGTCTTGACCTAATTAGCTTTAGTTGGCTTTTCCTGCTCTCACTGCCCTGCTACATTCATTAATTTAGAAAGCAGCTCAGCAAACACGCTCTGCTGTGAACATTCCTTCTGCCTTCTTGCCTCAGCTCACCCTCACCCCTTCTCTCTCAGTTCTTTCTGGTGCTTTCTTTTTCAGTGCCCAGCTCGCAAATTCTTGTACTTCCTTCCTGGCCACTTTGTTTCAGAGTGCTTTCTTCCCTTCCTGAATGTATTTGGCTCTCTAGTCTTTGCCATTCATCTGGTGTGTTGCCTTGAATTGTTAAATATGGAACCCCAGAACCTCTTCATTTGCTGCTTGTATTTCATCGTCTACAATACAGAACCTTACATGTCAGAATTAAGAAGGAATTATTTTGCAAATTTATGTGAAATGAAAGAGTACAGTTAAAAATTAAGCCAGGCATACATATCCTTTAAGAAATACATTCACAGCTGGGCACGGTGGCTCACACCTGTAATCCCAGCACTTTGGGAGGTGGAGGCAAGAGGATTGCCTGAGTTCAGAGGTTCAAGACCAGCCCTGGCAATTTGGTAAGACCTTATTTCTACAATTAATCAAAATTAGGTGGGTGTGGTGGCTCATGCCTATGGTTCCAGCTACTTGGAAGGCCAAGGCAGAAGGATCACCTGAGCCCAGCAGGTTGAGACTTCCGTGACAGAGAGTGTGCCACTGTACTCTGGGCAACAGAGTGGGACTCCAACCACCCAAAAAAGAAAAAACAGAAATACATTCACTTACCCACAGGTTTCTTGGTTCTGGCCTTAATATTTTATATTATTGTCACTCTTAGTTTTATCTGATAGTAACCTTAGTGATCCCCTTATCTTGCAAAATGAGAACATGGACCCTTTGATTGAGTTCTCTGGTCCCACCCTCCAAGCAGCTATTTCAGATCAGAGATGATGAGAATATGTGCTTCCTTATATTCTTTCAAAATCAAACCTCAGGACCATGCCATTTAACAATGCTCATTCACATTTATTTTATTTCTTTTTTATTTTTATAGAATTCAGACTGGTCTTGAATTCCTGGGCTCTAGCAATCCTCCTGCCTCAGCCTCCTTAAGTGCTGAGATTATAGGCATGAGCCTCTATGCCCAGCCCATGTTTATCTTAAACTGGTGTCATTGAGCTTGAAATTATCCCCCCTTCGTGTATGGTTTTTCAAAAGTGAAGACCTATTTTTCCCTTTGTTGATGGTCTTTGTTAAAAGGGCCTGAACGATGAAGAAATCTAATCAGTATACTCTTCATGGAAAAGTAACACACAAAACATGTATAATCACTACTTCAGTATTCTCAGGTAAAATTTATAATCTGCCTGGAACAGGTTTGTACAGAGAGGCTGTCGTGGCAGTCTAAGGAAGAGAACAGAGAGTTATCCTTAGGCTAAATAAAAGGCTTTATGAGGCTTTTGGACCACAAGGAACAGTAGCCCTGGGAATTGCCACTTCTTGGCCTGATGCTGGTTTTCTATTACATTGTGAAGAGTCTTCTAGCTTCCTCTGAGTTGTATATATTTTGTTTGAAGTGTCTTGCCTAAGGGGTCTCTAGCATCCTGGTGTTTTCTGCCATCAAGGGGAATTGGACTCCCCAGCTTATAGGACTTTGCAGCCAACACTTGTCTACCGTTTCTTTTATAGTCAGGGTCTCACTCTGTTGCCCAAGCTGGAGTACAGTGGCACAATCACAGTTCACTGCAGCCTCCACCTCCTGGCCTCAGGTGATCCTTCTGCCTCAGCCTTCCAAAGTGCTGGAACTTTTTTTTTTTTTTTTTTGAGTTGGAGTCTCACTCTGTCGCCCAGACTGGAGTGCAGTGGCCGCTCCCGGCCCCCGCAGCCTCGACCTGCTGGGCTCCGGCGATCCTTCCGCCTCAGCCTTCCAAGTAGCTGGAATTACAGGCATTTACTACCACACCCGGCTGATTTTTTGATTTACTGTAGAGATGAGGTCTCACTGCCCAGGCGGGTCTTGAACCCGCGGGCTCAGGCAATCCACTCACCTCAACCTCCCAAAGGTGTGGGATTACAGGCTGAGCCACCAAGCCCGGCTTGGAACTTTTTTTTTTGAGTGTCTCACTCTGTTGCCCAGGCTGAAGTGCAGTGGCACACTCATGGCCACCTCAGCTGTGCAAGTAACTGGAACTACAGGCACACGCCACCATCACACTCAGCTAATTTTTTTTTTTTTGAGTTGGAGTCTCAAGGCCACCACAGCCCCAACCTGCTGGTCTCAGGTGATCCTTCTGCCTCAGCCTTCCAAGTAACTGGAACCACAGGCACATACCACTCCACCCAGCTAACTTTTTGGTAGAGACGAGGTCTGACCATGTTGCCCAGGCTGGTCTCAAACCCGTGTCCTCAGGCAATCCTCTCACTTCCACCTCTCGGAGTGCTGGGATTACAGGCGTGAGCCAATGTACCTAACTTTATTGGCTTTTTAATTTCAAAAGCAGCGTATGTGGCGAAATTGATGTTGATATATATAGTATAGCAGAAGCTTTAGATAAAGGAGTTCATGTGACCACTGTTAGTTTAATGTGTAAAAGTAACTTTAAATATTTGCTAGCTGTGAAAGGATGGTGTGGAATTAAAGCTACTAAAAAAAGAAAATTGTCATTTGTCACCTACATTTTTGGCAAGAGTGGGGAACAGGCTAGAGGGCAGCCTGCTCTTTGGGAGTCTAAAGTGGAGAGGAGCTCGCCTTGCCTGTGGTCACCTTGCTTCCTTGTCCTAAGAGGGAAGGGAAAGTACAGACTCTGGAAACCAAAGGGAACATACTAGACTCCAGTTCTGTCGGTCTCAGTCAGTTCACTTCCTGCTTCTGTAACGTAGTGAGTTCACAAGTTCAGCAGTGCCCTTGGTTATTGGATCTCCTGCTGTAACCCTGCAAAACCTGCCCAAACTTACCCTGAGTTGGTTAGTCCACTTTTCATTTTTTGTTGTGCTCCTGCATATTTTAAAGTATTGGCCTGATTCACTTTCCTGATGTGAACCTCTAGCTCTCCTGAGGAAGGTATGAGGACCAGTCACTAGAACCATTTTGTTTTGCAGGTCACAAGAAGAGAATTCTTTCTAGATGGGAGGTCACCTCCACACCCAGACCACCTTTCTTGCCTTGCCTGTTTTGCCGTCTGCTGCCTTAAATGTTCACACCACGTTGAGTGTCTTATTCCACAATGCAATGTTTCTTCCTTTGCCTTTTTCTACACTTCGATGTGCCTACATATTCTAAACTGTACCTGCTCCACAAGATGGTGACGCCCTCTCCTGAGACAGGATGTTCTTCTGAGAAACATGCTGCTCTCTCCTCAGAATCTGGATTTGAAGATGGATCCTGTCTCCTCACCACATGAGAGTCAGCGAAGTGTTTAAAAACTGCTGCAAGACAAACATGCTCCAGTGTACCAGTTAGGAGAGCATGCTCAGAGGACTGTCCCAGCAGAGACACCAAACTTTGTTTTCAGGGTGAATTTCTTATTTCTGCCATCTTTTGGAATAAATTATTTTTCTGCTTTCTATGGAAATCTGGCTTTGATGTTTGTACAGCTCATTTTTGTAAGTTTTTCTATCCCTCAATAATGCCTTTTTAAAAAACAATTTTGCCAGGCAAAGTGGCTCACGCCTGTAATCCTAGCACTTTGGGAGGCCAAGGTGGGAGTATTGCTTGAGCTCAGGAGTTTGAGACCAGCCTGGGCAACATAGTGAGACCTCGTCTCTACAAAAAATTAAAAAATTAACCAGGCCTTGTGGCACACGCCTGTAGTCCCAGCTACCCAGGAGACAGAGGCGGAAGGATTGCTAGAGCCCAAGAAGAGATCGATGCTGCAGTGAGCTGTGATGGTGCCATTGTACTCCAGCCTGGGTGACAGAGTGAGACCCTGACTCAAAAAATAAAAAAGGTTTTTTAGTCTAAACTGAGGCTGGATGTATAAGCCCTGCCATGCTGTCTGGGATGCCTGAGAAGACTGGTAAGTACTTCTTAATCATTCAGTAACCATTTGAGCCTGCTGTAGCCACGGCACTACCAGGACCAAAGATATGTATGTTGGGTCCCCACAAGTTCACGAGCTTATGTGCTGTTTGGAGAGATAAGGTAGCATACATAGAGTTACACTATAAGACAGTGTTTTACCATTGTTCTTAAAAATGGTTCTGAGGTGAGCTGGTCGAGGATAACCACCAGTCACAAGGACACAGCAGTGAGTGCCATCAAGGTAGATTTATCACCCTCAGACTCGAGACAGAAATCTAGAGTGATCAGAAGCCCGGGGCCGGGGCGGTGATTTGGTGTTTTGGTAGCAGGCATCTCAATCTCAATTCACTATTTGGGGGCTTTATTAGTTTTAAGAAATTGATAATTAAAATAGGCCTGCATTTTCCCCATCTCGTGGCTTTTTGACAGCCAGCCAAGAGTGGGTTTCCTGTTGTGCAGTTTGTACTTTTCTATTTCTCCCAAACTGTCTGAACATATTACTTTGCTATGCTTATGACCAAAAGTGTTTCAAGTTCAAGTGACTTTCTTGCTTTCGTTTCTTCTCATTCTTTTTTTTTTTTTTAAGTTGGAGTCTCACTCTGTCGCCCAGACTGGAGTGCAGTGGCCGCTCCCGGCCACCGCAGCCTCGACCTGCTGGGCTCCGGCGATCCTTCCGCCTCAGCCTTCCAAGTAGCTGGAATTACAGGCATGCGTTACCACGCCCGGCTGATTTTTTGATTTATTGTAGAGATGAGGTCTCGCTGCCCAGGCGGGTCTCGAACCTACGGGCTCAGGCAATCCACTCACCTCAGCCTCCCAAAGCTGCGGGATTACAGGCTGAGCCACCGAGCCCGGCTCTTCTCATTCTTTACTTTCATTTTGAACTTGAAATTTTTCTGCGAGTTAGGCAACTTTGTACTTTACAAAAGGGACTCTTTAGCTAATATTGTGGAATACATAAAACAATGAAAACTTGAAGCTCAGGGAGCCATGATAATATAAGGTAACCCCATTGTTGATAGGTAAGGAATCTGAGTCCAGACAGGGAGAATTGCTTGCCCAGTTTAACATAGCTGGTCAGAGTCAGGCTGGGGAGTTGGATCTTATGCCTGATTTCCATTATCGAGCACTCTTCACTGGCCTCCCTGTCTTCCTCGGAGCTACGCTTGCTGGGAGCCAAGCTGGGACTCTGGTGAAAGAGAGTTCTACCCCTGCAGATGACCAAGCTGTCTCCCACCATAACAACTTTTATGACCCTTAATAAATGTTTATCATCTCAGAAAGCAATGCTGGTGGTTACTGTGAGTACGTAAGAGGATGCCACAGAAATAAGACATTCACCCTGAAAGCAGAGTTTGTTGTCTCTGCTGGGACAGTCCTCTGAGCATGCTATCCTGACTGGCACACTGGAGCATGTTTGTCTTGCAGCTGTGTTCCCAGATTCCCCAAGCCCTGCAGCCCGTTATTGCTGGGGTGAGTCTGAAACCTTCCCAGCTCTCACCCTAGGCTCTATGCAGCAGACTCCAATGTCTTTTTCCCTCCCTTTTCATTTTTTGAGTTGGGGTCTTACTCTATCTCCCAGACTGGAGATCACCGCAGCCTCAAACCATGGGCTGAGGAACCCTCCCTCCTCAGCCTCCTGAGTAGGTAGGACTACAGGTAAGCACCACCATGCCTGGCTAATTTTTATTATTTTTTGTGTGGGGATGAGGTCTTGCTATGTTGCCCAGGCTGGTCTTGAACTCCTGGACTCAAGCAATCCTCCTGCCTTGGCTTCCCAAAGTGCTGGAATTACAGGCGTGAGCCACCGTGCCCAGCCCACATTTTTTTTCTTTTTTTTTTTTTCTTTGAGCTGGAGTCTCACTCCGTTCCCCAACCTGCTGGGCTTTGGCAATCCTTCTACCTCAGCCTTCCAAGTAGCTGAAACTCTAGGTGTGTGCTACCATGCCCAGCTAACTGTTTTATTTATTGTAGAGATGAGGTCTTGCCAGATTGCCAGGGCTGGTCTTGAACCTGTAGGCTCAGGCAATCCACTCACCTTGGCCTCCCAAAGTGCTAGGATTACAGGCTGAGCCACCGAGCCCAGCCACATTTTCTTTGAACAGTTCCCTTGCTTCGGTGTTTGCTTGGGCCTGGATTAGAAGGAGCTCCATCTAGCCTTTTCAAAGAATACTGAAGAGGTTCTGCTCCAGAGCCTTTCCAGGTGGATGTGGTGTGGTCCCCTGGGACGGTCATTAGACTAAGAGAAAGCGTAGGTTTGCAGTCTTAACTCCGTCACTTCCTATGTAACTTGGGGGAAATCATTAAATTCTGAGCCTCAGTATTTTCAGCTATAAAATAGGGATAGTACAAACCTTTTTACTGTCTGTTACTAAATTAGATGTTGGTTGTGTAGATGACATTTAAATTATAATAATCCACAAGGGGTATTTTCCAAAGAAATGGCCAAATCCCCAGGGCACATTGACAGTGCTTTAATATTAAGCTAGGACCCAGAGGGATAGCTGAGTGATTTTTTTTTTCTACATATGGTCATCTGTAGAAAAATGATAGTCATTTGTACTTGAGGACAGAGAGCTTACAAAAAAATAAAAGGCACTCGCCCCAGGCCCCCAGTCCTGAACTCTGAGCCAGAAGCAATCCTAGCTTAAGAGGCTAGGCCACGCTCTTTTGTCCCTTCCAGGTTCTACTAGTTTCTATACCAGGATGGAAGTATTGCTGGCAGGCTTTTGAAGATGGAGTCTAAGTCTCCATTGGTTTCTCTTAGCATTGTTTTTGTTGTCTTCATTAAGTATATAATGTCTGTACCTTTGTCACTGGCCCAGTAGTATTTTATCATATCTTTCCTCTTACATTGCTCTAGGAGTAGCAACTTTGTGTTGTATCTTGCCAACTTTTAGCAGTGGAAGGTGATTGGCCTTGCTGAGGCCGATTTAGAATTGAGAAATTATTTTAGGCAGCAGACAGTAGACACTCTTGCTGCTGTTCTCTCATTGTGCCCTTCACAATGTATCTTTTTAATAAATTTACCTTTCTTAACTCATTAAAAAAAAAGAGAGAGAAATTATTTTAAATGTTGTCCAGACTCATGGAACTTCAGCCCTGGATTTTGTCTTCTAAGAATTGAGAGTCAATTGTTCCTTTATTAACAAAATTTAAATGATACTTAAAAACATAACTTGGCATTCTAGAACACTTTTGTTACTCCCTCTATGCAAAAGCTCTCTTCTGTTTGGGAGAACAATAGTGTTTAAAATGGAGATGGAGACTAAAGCAAAATTGCATTACTCTCCCCCAGTCCCTTTATTTCAACTGTCTCTCAAGAACTGAGTGGATGAAATGAATTGTAGAAAATCCATAATTTCTTTTTTTTTTTTTTTTTTTTTTTTTTTTTG